CTCTCCCCTTACCCCGTCCCCTCCCAGATATCCCAAGTTCTTCTAGCACTCTGCTTTTCACGAGACTTGGTGACCAGAGCGGGGCTGTCACAAGACAACCCTGTTCTTTCCTCTTTTGAGGTCTGAGGCTCTGCCAGATTCACTCTTTCTGATTAAGTTTGTGGTCTCCAACCCGCCCTTCCGCTGATTGTAACATCCAGCTGCTCTCCTATGGGGGCTCCCATCCGCTCCTCCCTGCTGGGGACGCTGGTGCAGAAACCACAGCTCCTGCAGGGTGTGCGGAGCCCCGGGGCTGCCCAGCCACACCCACTCGCTAACACTCGACCTGAGTATTCTGTCTGGGGTGTCCTGCCTGCCTCGGTACCAGTCCCACCCGGTATCAGGCCACCGGAGTTTCATGCCTGTCTGCTGACTGCTCGCCCAGTTCTTGTGCGTGCCTGGTGGCATTCCCACTCAGGTGGCACGCCTGCCCAGATACAATGCCCACTTGGGTCCTGCCGCCTGGGTGTCACACGTGCCTGGGCACCAGGGGCCCAGGCCACCACAGCAGGACTGTGGGTCTCCCTCAGTCCTGAGTCCAGCCCCCCGTGGCCTCTGCCTCTGCCTTCCTCAGCGGACGATGGGGGCTTCGAGAGTGGCACCTACAACAACAGTGCCATCGCCACCCCTCACCTGGATGCCCTGGCCCGCCGCAGCCTGGTCTTCCGCAATGCCTTCACCTCCGTCAGCAGCTGCTCTCCCAGCCGCGCCAGTCTGCTCACTGGCCTGCCCCAGGTGAGGGCGGCAGGGGTGTGGGAGGAGGGCTCTCGACACCGACACCGAGAGCCCCTCCCTGACCTCCCCTGGGGATGGGCCCACCCTCTTCTCCCCACTCCCAGCCAAGCGGGTTCGAGTATGGGCTAGAGGGCGCCCTCTCCGCTGCTCTGTGTGACCGTGACCAAATCACGTACTCGCGAACCTCAGTCTTCTTACCTGTGAAATGGGGTCTTGAGAACACCTCGTTCCTGGGATTCTTACGGGATTGGCCAAGCTCATACTTTATATGGAAAGCACATAGCCAGGTGCCTGGCATGCGGTTGTCCGGGGTTAACTCCTGTCACACTGTTATCCCGGGAGCTTGAGTGATGGTAGGAGCTACCACGTAAACGTTTACTCTGTATTGTGTGTGCTAGAATATGTGTAGTGCAAAACTTACCATTTTGATTCTTTTTTAAAATATTTTTTAAATGCTTTTTCATTTATTTTTGAGAGCACCCCCATGCAAGGCTGTGGGGGAGGGGCAGAGAGAGAGGGAAGGAGACATAGCGGGCTCTATGCTGACAGTGCAGCGCCCAACGCGGGGCTCGAACTCCTGAACCGGGAGAGTGTGACCTGAGCCAAAGTCAGGAACTTAACTGACTGAGCCACCCAGGCGTCCTCGTTTAAGTCACTTTTTTTTTAAGTGCGTGACTGAGCGACATCAGATACGCTCACGTTATCGCGCGGCGTTCCTGCTGTCTACCCCCGGAACTTAATCGTGTTCCCAAACCGAAGCTCTGTGCCCGCTGACTCCCTGCGCCCCTCTCGGTCCCTGGTACCTTCTATTCTATTCGTCTCAGTGCATGCGGTTGCTACAATGTTTGTCCTGTGGGCACTGGCTGATGTCACCGAGCGTAGTGGCCTCGCGGGAACGTCGTAGCAGGCGTCAGGATGTCCTTCCTTGCGGCCAAAACACCGTGTGAGGTTCCGTCACGCGGGTCTGGCACACTTTGCTTACCTGTTCAACCGCCGACGGATGCCGAGGCTGCTTCTACTCCTGACTGTCGTGAATAACGCTGCTGTGAACTCGGGTGCACGAGTACTTACTCCTGATGTGTTACCCCGAGACACCATCTTCCGGGGAGCCGGTGTGCTCTGTGCGTCCCCATTGGAGAGACCAAGGCCATGTGTAGGCGGCCCATGTGTGGCCACTACCCAGACGCCTCCTGGAAGGTTAATCAGGCAGCTGTGAGCTGCACTCCCGTCTGGGCCGTAGGAATGAGGAGAGCACTGTTCCAGCTTGTCTTACGTCTTTCCAGTCTCAGTTTGTAACGTGTGTGACTGTTTTTTTTTACGCTGTAAAAAACCCAGTTAATCGGGGCGCCTGGGTGGCTCAGTGGGTTAAGCGTCCGCCTTTGGCTCAGGTCATGATCTCACGGTTTGTGGATTCGAGCCCCACATCAGGCTCCACACTGACGGCACAGGGTCTGCTTGTGATCCCCCCCCCTTCTCTCTGTGCTTCTCCTACTCGTGCTCTCTCTCTCTCTAAATAAGCTTAAAAAAAATCCAGTTAACAGTGGTTTGCCGCCGTGGCATGTGCTCGCAACAAAAAAGCTGGAAAACCCAGGTAGACAAAAAAGAAGGAAATAAAAGCCACCCCTTGGGGCACATCTCCGGCGTGCTGTTTCCCCTGCTGACGTCCTACGGTAGGGGCCAGACGGAGAGGCCGTGGAACTCTCCCTGGGTGCCGGCCGCCCGAGCCGAAAGGGGGCCCCCGGAGGGCCCGGCGACGAGCCACGGGGAGAGCCGGGGCAGGTGGGGCCCTGCGTCATGCGCGTCTCTGCCGCAGCATCAGAACGGGATGTACGGCTTGCATCAGGACGTCCACCACTTCAACTCCTTCGACAAGGTGCAGAGTCTGCCGCGGCTGCTCGGCCAGGCCGGCATCCGCACAGGTGAGCGGCTTCCTGCCACAACGGGACCGGACGGGCCCCCTCGGGGCGAGCCCCGTGTCGCCTGCTCTGAACACCCGAGGTCCTCGGCCTTTCCCCTGAGCCCTGGCTCCGTGAGGACAAGGGCCCGGGCTGACCCCCTAGAGGCCACACCAGGGCAGGGCTTTGGC